CATAACTCATCAATTCTAATGTTCTTGAACTCACTACCATTGTCACTTCTAACTCTCTTGATGGTTGTTTCAAACTCATTGTGAATGCCCTTGACAAATGATTTGAATGTTGCAAACACATCACTTTTATCCACTAGAAAGAATACCCAAGTGTATCTAGTGTAATCATCCACTATCACAAAGCCATATTTGTTACCACCGATGCTAGTGTATTGTGTTGGCCCAAACAAATCCATATGCAATAACTCAAATGCTTTACTAGTGCTCATCATGCTTTTCTTAGAATGGGTGTTTCCAACTTGTTTGCCGACTTGACAAGAACTACAAAGCTTATTATTTTCAAACACATCTTTCAAGCCTATAACCAAGTCATGCTTAATCAATCTATTCAATTGTTTCATTCCAACATAACCAAGCCTTCTATACCATAACCAACCCATGCTAGACTTAGTGAACAAGCATGTAGATAATTTAGCTTCACTAGCATTGAAATCAATCAAGTATAGATTCTCATATCTAAAGCCTTTGAAGATCAAATTAGAGCTATCTACACTTATGATCTCTACATCATCTACCCCAAATATGCATTTGAATCCAAGATCACACAATTGAGCCACGGATAGTAAATTGAAGTTCAAGCTCTCTACTAGCAACACATTGGATATGCTCATGTCATTGGATATTACAATCTTACCAAGCCCTTTGACCTTGCCTTTGCCATTATCACCAAATGTAATGCTATCATAACCATCATTGTCATTAGTGTTGATTGAGTTGAACATTCTTGTATCACTGGTCATGTGGTGAGTACACCCACTATCAAGAACCCAATGCCTTCCTCCGGCTTTGTAATTTACCTACAAAAGAAGATCAATTCTTTTTAGGTATCCAAACTTGTTTGGGTCCTTGAAGGTTAGTCACTAAGCTCTTTGGTACCCAAATGGCTTTCTTCTTTGAGCTCATCCATGGTTTACCAATGAACTTAGCCTTCACACCATTTGTATCCTTAGTAACCATATAGAAAGAATTAATCTTAATTGAGGATACATTAGCATTTTTGCTATTGTTCTTGCACTCATGCTCTTTATGACCAACTTACTTGCAACTAGTGCAAAACCGACCATTGTTCTTCACAAAACTAGTCTTATGAGGAGTAAAGGCCGCCTTGTCTTTCTTGGGGTTATAGCCCAATCTCTCTTTATAGAGAGAAGCTCTTTGGCTACCCAAGCACATAAGCAAGCGGTCCTCACCACCATAGGCCTTAGCCAAAGTGTGAGTAAGCTTGTTGACCTCCTTCTTGAGGTTCTCATTCTCAACCATTAGTGAGGCATCACAAGTAAAACCATCACTACTAGATGAGGTGGAAGTAGAAGTACTAGAAAAAGGGTTAGTGGGAGCAACAATAATAGGCATAGATAATGATTCATCAATTATATCACAAGTTAAGCCTATATTGCAACTTTCAACATGCTTCTTTTTATTTTGCTCATCAAGCAAAGAGGAATGAGCCTTTTCAAGCTTTTTGTGAGCCTTGCCAAGCTTCTCATGAGTTGGTTTGAGCTCATCAGGGGCTTGCTTAAGGGCTTTTACCTCCTTATTCAAGCTCTTGCATTTCCTTCTCTTAATGTCAAAGTGTTCTTTAGCATCTTCTAGCATGTCATATAGTTCACCCTTACTAGGTTCATCATCATCACTATAACTTTCATTTTCATTTTCATTATCATGTTCCTCATCACTTTCATCATCACAAATTTATACCTTAGTGGCCTTAGCCATGAAGCATGATGGAGTGTCGAAGAGAGAAGGCTTCTCATTGATTGCAATGCTTGCAAGTGCCTTCTTCTTGGTGGTCTTGTCATCATCACTATCATCATCATCACTTGAGGAAGCATCACTATCCCAAGTGACCACATATGAACCACCCTTCTTCTTCTTGAAGGTCATCTTGTCCTTCTTCTCTTTCTTTTCCTTCTTGTCCTTCTTCTTATTCTTCTTGTTGTCATCATCATTGTCGCTATTATATGGACATTGAGCAACAAGATGATCTTTGCTTCCATATTTGAAGCATCTTCTTGACTCTTCCTTGTTCTTGGATGAAGATTTCTTTCTTCTAGCCCGGTACCCTTTCTTCATCATGAACTTGCCAAATTTCTTGACAAAGAGAGCCATCTTCTCATCATCATCGTCATCCCATGAGCCATCATCTTCACTTGATGTATCTTGCTTTGCCTTACCCTTGATGATGTGGCCTTGAATACCACGCTCTTCTTCTCATCCTTCTTCTCATCTTTTTCTCCTTCTTTTCTTCCTTCTCATCGTCATCTCTATATGTATCATCGGTCATTATATCTCCCAATACTTGGTTTGGTGTCATGGTGTCCAAACCACTCCTCACTAGTATAGTGACCAATGTGCCAAATCTTGAAGGCAAACATCTCAAGAACTTGTGGGAAAAGTCATTGTCCTTCACCTCTTCTCCAAGTGCTTTGAGATCATTGACAAGCACTTGAAGCCTATGGAACATCTCCGGCACACTCTCATCCTCCTTCATCTTGAAGCTTGCAAACTTCTCTTTGAGAATATATGCCTTTGCACCCTTCACGGTTTGAGTGCCCTCAAATGATTCTTTCAACTTCTTCCAAGCCTCATGAGCCATCTCAATATTCTTGATTTGCTCAAATGTTCTCTCATCCATTGCATCATGAATGGCACTTAGAGCAATGTCATTGTTTTGGAGAAGCACTTCTTCGGCCACGGTGGGGTTCTCCGGATCTTCAATCTCAATTTTTGTTTCTACCACCTTCCACACCTTTCTATTGATTGACTTGATATGGGTGGTCATCTTTGACTTTCAATAAGGATAATTTATGCCATCAAATTGGGGTGACTTCTTGGTGTTGTTGATTTGAGCCATTTTTACACCGAAGGTTGTTAAGCCTCAAATCACGGTGACCTCGGCTCTGATACCACTTGAAAGGTCCTAATGGCTAGAGGGGGTGAATAGCCTAATTAAAATTTCTACAACAACACTTAACAAACCGGTTAGATAATTATGAGGCGAAGCAAGTGTTGCACTAGCCTACAAAAATGTAAGTCACCTACTATAATTCTAGTTGATATAGTTTCTATCCACACAATAGCTAAGTTACTACACTAAGTTAGTGTGCTCTCAAAGGATAACTAAAGAGCCACACTAACCAAACTAACAAGCTCTCACAACTAGCTACACTAAAGAGCTTGACAACTAGTTTGCGGTAATATAAAGAGAGTGAGCAAGATAGTTTATACCGCCGTGTTGAGGAGTGAACCAATCAATCACAAGAATCAATAACAATGAAGATCAATCACCTTGGAATCAAATGATGAACACAATGATTTTTAACGAGGTTCACTTGCTTGCTGGCAAGCTACTCCTCGTTGTGGCGATTCACTCACTTGGAGGTTCACACGCTAATTGGCATCACACGCCAAACCCTCAATAGGGTGCCGTACAACCAACATAAGATGAGGATCACACAAGCCATGAGCAATCCACTAGAGTACCTTTTGGCTCTCCGCCGGGGAAAGGTCAAGAACCCCTCACAATCACCACGATCGGAGCCGGAGACAATCACCTCCCTCTGCTCGATGATCCTCGCTGCTCTAAGCCGTCTAGGTGGTGGCAACCACCAAGAGTAACAAGTGAATCCTGCAATGAAACACGAACACCAAGTGCCTCTAGATGCAAACACTAAAGCAATGCACTTAGATTCTCTCTCAATCTCACAAAGATGATGAATCTATGATGGAGATGAGTGGGAGGGCTTTGGCTAAGCTCACAAGTTGCTATGTCAATGCAAATGGCCAAGAGAGTGAGCTTGAGCCGGCCATGAGGCTTAAATAGAATCCCCCACAAAATAGAGCCGTTGGGCTCCTTACTACACAGAACACGGGCCGATCAGACGCAACTATCAGATTGACCGGACACTAGACCTCAGCGTCCGGTCACGTGATGCACGCCACGTGTCCCTCTCTTCAAATGATGTACGCCCAATCTCAACGATCAGAAGACCACCGGACGCAGCGGCTAACAGTGACCGGACGCTGAACCCCTAGCATCCGGTCATTTCTAGTAAGCTTCCAGAAACGATTTTCCTGACCGGACACGTCCGGTCATGCTTGACCGGACACAGCCAGCGTCCGATCACACAGTGTCTTCCTCTGTGCTGCCATGTCAGCATGACCGGACGTAGCCTTCTAGCGTCCGGTCGCTGAGCGACCCAGCGTCCGGTCGTTTGACCGACGCCAGCGTCTTAGCTATTACACTGACCTGACCAGACGCGCTGACCCAACAAAGGCCAGCGTCCGATCACTTCCAGTGACCTCCATCTTTTCTGTCTAGAGCGTCGGTGGCACCGTCAGGACTATCCATACTCTACGGGTGGACACTCCGCCGGTGAAGTTCCTAACCCTTGCTTAAATGTGCCAACCACCAAGTGTATCACCTTATGCACATGTGTGTTAGCATATTTTCACAAACATTTTCAAGGGTGTTAGCACTCCACTAGATCCTAAATGCATATGCAATGAGTTAGAATATCTAGTGGCACTTTGATAACCGCTTTTCGATACGAGTTTCACCCCTCTTAATAGTATGGCTATCAAACCTAAATGTGATCACACTCTCTAAGTGTCTTGATCACCAAAACAAAAATAGCTCCTACTATTTATACCTTTGCCTTGAGTCTTTTGTTTTTCTCTTTCTTCTTTTCAAATCCAAGCACTTGATTATCACCATGGCATCACCATCATCATGTCATGGTCTTCATTTGCTTCACCACTTGGAAATGTGATACCTATCACATGATCACTTGATAAACTAGGTTAGCACTTAGGGTTTCATCAATTCACCAAAACCAAACTAGAGCTTTCAGTTGGTCTCACGAACTGGTTGGCGACGTCGCGCAGGGCATCGCCAGCTGCTTGAGCTATCCGGTGTAGGCGGTGATGTCCATGTCGCCCTAGACAATGCTTCGAAACTCAGCTTTGAGGTAGACGGCGCGGTGTAGTTCATTGTCCCAGAATTGATCGTGGATGGAAGTCCCGATGTAGTACGCGGTGGCGCGGAGAACATGAACGATGGCGCGGACATCCTTGGACACCGAGTTGTAGAGCCAACTGAGGACGCATTGATCGCGCATCGCCCACTCTGGATCATGGCGGTTATCTATGGTTGTCTTGGAGGAGAGGTGAGAGGTGAGGCCAAATTTGTCGATGAACGCGTCGAAAAAAGCGCCATTCGGTGTAATTGGACTCGGCGAGATCAAGTTCAACAGGGACATGAGATTTGAGATTGCACTACCCCAGATCAGGACAATACTACCGGTTTAAAACACCCCATCACTGCAGGATTTTGAACCAGCACAACCAAAACGGCAGTGACGAGGGTTAGCTATCACTGTCGGTTCCTACAAACCGGCAGTGTTCTGTAACTTTACTTCCGATCCTTTACACAACCCGGTAGAGTTCAATTCCACCAACACTGCCGGTTCATGAGACCACCCGGCAGTGTAACCTCGAACATCACTGTCGGTTTATGTCTTTAGTCGGCAGTGTTATCGTAACCAGCACTGCTGGTTTGGGCTCAAGCCGGTAGTGCCATCTTGGCCATCACTGCCGGTTTGTTGCTAATCGGCAATGATGGCCCGTTCGCATTTTATTATTTTATAATTTATTTTAATTTATATTTTTCGTGGAATTAGGTTTCGCTTTATATACGCTACGTAGACGATAGGTCCATCAATATTAAACATTTCAAATGTTACGGTTATAGTTCAAATGTTCTTATCAAGATCTCGATCCCTCAAAATAAAAAAGAAATTATTCAATAAGATGAAGCATGCTTCTCGGACTTCTTACAATAATCTAGCGAGCCGCTCTGGGCCATATTGGTCCTTAACCTCATGGATTGTGCAATGAAAAATACTCCATCTTTTTCCAATACCTTGGCTGCTCGTTCTCACCGTCCTGATTGACACCATCAACGTTTGTCGGATCATGCGGCTCTCCCGTCCCAGCGATATCAGCCGCTTCTTGTTGCCGATCTATTCTTCACGACGGGGTAACAGGCGACGATGAGTCATGGCTATGACACGATCGTGGTTAGTTTTGGCTGTGAACAACTACTAATAGCATATGCAAAAATAAAGAGAATAGAAACTTAGCATCAAACACAAACACCAAAATGATGCAACAATTCCAAAAATGAGATGGAACCTAGTTGGGGAAGCTACACAGAAAACTAACTCATTGCAAGTGGTCACCCAAGTCACAAAAAATATACAAAACTAGTTCCTATCCAGTCTTCTAATGACACCAACTAGGATACAACATCAACAAAACCATCACGGGATAACACATGCTGCTACAAATTAATATATGTACTGCAATTTTACACCTTCTATATTATACCAAGAGACTTTGATTTAATTGCCGTACCTGAATTCCGGTGCATGTTAACCAGGCAACAAATTTTAACAAACTATTACTTCCAATTCACACCACGGCATGAAAACACACACAATTCATTCCACCACAATCTACTCTCGTATGCAATTGAAGTTCGTATGCAAGAAGGAATGGGGGGGAAAGCCTAGGTTGGCCTCGGCTAACCTAACGGGCATTTCATCAAACACATAGCGGGTAGTGAGCCACGCACTCACCATGGGGAGTGGGAAAGCAGCTGTCCGCACGCTCCTGAAGGCCTTGGCGGTGGGAGTGCAGGCGTGGAGGAGGAGGGGCACGGCCGACATCGTGGATGAGGAACAAGGGCACGGATAGCGTGGTGCTCTGGCTAGGGCGGTGGACGGCGTCACGTGCGCTGGCATGGGACTAACGGGGATGCATCGAGGGGATGCACGGGCGTCGGCATCGAAGAAAAGGAGCGCGGGGCTAGGAACGGCGGAGCGGGGGGCGGTGGACGGGTGCACGAGGGGCGGTGGTGCCCGTCGGCATTGGGGAAGGGGTTGGCGCAGGGTTGAAATGACTTTGGAAAATTTCACCCCACGCCTTGCTTTTATCCCAATGGCTCATCACTACCAGTTGCAAGGTCTAAACCGACAGTGATGAGGCAACATCACTGCAGGGCCATGACTGGAACCGATAGTGATGGGGGTACAACGGTTACGGGTTAAGTAACATATCTTTCCCTTTCTTTCGAAATCCTCCGACGGGCACAACGGTTAAGACCACACAATATAGCCCATGAGACCCGTGTTCGAGTCCCAGACGGCCCACTAAAAGGTCAAAAAGAAAAAATAAAATAAGCCTTGACACACCTCCTATACTAGTGCAGCGGTTAAGACTCAGAACTCTGTTCCCTGACACCTGAGCTCGAACCCGAGGCTAGCACAATTTTTTTAATTTTTTTATAAATCACTGCCGGTTTTCAAAATGAACCAACATTGATAACTAGCATCGCTGTCGGTTTCGTCTCATCACTGCTGGTTTTTTGAAACCGACAGTGATGTTTATATATATAAAAAAATTCTTTTATATACTGAATAAATAGAAGCATGTCTATTCCCATGTCAAAATGGCTTAAAATTTGTTTGACAAGCATGTACACCCAAAGTAAGACCCCGCACAAGATCTTAGGTTTTTCTGATTAGTTTTTTATTTATTATATTTTTTATGTGCTGAATGAGACAAAAGAGGGTGAATTTCATCTTGGACCCAATAGATTTTTTCATTGACCTCCACAAAATCTTATCCCTAGGGCACATGAGAGCTTGTGTAAAAGTTTGGCACCATTCCGGATCTTTTCGTGGGTATACTCCATTCAACCTATAATTAATCGGTGACATCGCGCAAAATTCATTTAAACCTTAAAAAGTAGCAAACCATCTTCGAAATTCCAAACTTGGTGTTTTCTTCACCCGTGGCATGTGCATGCCTAAGAAAAAGTTTGAGACCAATACGATATCGAAATGCATATGAACCACAGAAATCTTGATAACCTATGTGTATAGTCAAGGTTCGATGAAAGGGCTCATGTATCTCTATGAAGCATGTATACTCCGCCTATGTTGAAATGGCATGAAATGTTTTTTGACAAGCATGTATACCCAAATTAAGGCCCCACATAAGATCTTAGGTTTTTCTGTTCATTATTATTATTATTATTATATTTTTCTCTGTGCTGAATGAGACAAAAGAGGGTGAATTACATCTTTGACCCACTAGTTTTTTTCATTGACCTAAACAAAATTTTGATCCCTAGGGCACATGAGACCCTATGTAAAAGTTTAGCACCATTCTAGATTTTTTCGTGGGTAGACTCAGCTCAACCTATAATTAATCGGTGTCGTCGCGCGAAAATTCAATTAAACCTCAGAAAGTAGCAAACCATCTCCGAAAAATCCCAAACTTGGCATTTCCTTCAATCGTGGCATGTGCAAGCCTGAGAATAATTTTAAAACCAATGCGACACTGGGATGTAGATTTCTAGTTACCCAACAAATGTTATATGAATTACATGCATGACAATAATTAAACACACAAGCCATATAAATTAAAATTAGAACCCAATTAAACTACAACCTTGTAAACCTAGATAAATAAACATTAATTACCTTTGGGGGAGGATACCACGTAGGGCAACAGGGAGCAGCTGAGTCATAATGACATGATAGTCATGGGCCTTCATAAGGCCATAGTTTAACTTGAGTTCTCTCATGTTCATTAGCCTCTTCGGGTTCACATAGTAGCCCATCTGGACTTTGAGTTCATTGAAAAAGAAATAAGCGCATACTTTTCTTCCTTCTTCAATGTCCATGACGCAACCAAAAGTTTGAACTAGCCATTCTCTAGCTCCACGGGATGCAGCTCCTTCCTGATTCTCAAGTGTTGCATGTCCAGGCATGTGGCTAGTGAATCCTTCGATGTCCCCCGGTGTCAGTTAAGCGTGTTAGCGCACACATTTTTAGTGATGTGCATGTGATCAAGACAATGGCGTACACTCAAAAATGGTCAGTAAGGTAGTTTCTAGAAAACCAATTTTTTCTTCCAAACTCTCCCATCAAGCACTGCTACTGCATTGTCCCCCTTCCTAAGGACAACCTCCAGTTTGTTGAGTTCTCGAAGTATTGCAGGCTCATCTCAATATTTTAGAGCTAAGCGTTTCTCAATAGTACCATTGAAATTTTTTCTATTCTTGCGGTAAGGGTGATCCTTAGGTAGGAACCTACAGTGTCCCATATAAACTATCTTTGAGTTATTTGGTAGATTTACCGCATCGGTATCGTCCAAGCACTCGACACATCCGGTATAGCATTTTGTCTTCTCTTCGGACAACGAACCTCGACCTGGTAGGTCGGTGATTGTAGCGATAAGTACTCCCTTGATCGTGATATGTTCCTTTTTGTACTCATCCCAAACATTCGGCACACCCTTTTCAAACATCTCCACTAGTTCATCGATCACTAGTTTCAGAAACACATCGATGTCATTCCTAGGTTGTCTTGGCCCTTGGATCAGTAGTGGCATCTGGATGTACGACTGCTCCATACAGACCCAAGGTGGAAGGTTTTATATATAGAGCGTCACTGGCCAGGTGGTATGATTGCTTCTAACCTGGTCGAAAGGATCCATCCCACCTCTGATCAAAGCAAACCAAAGGTGCCTTACCTCTTCATCAATGTCCTTATAGAACATAGTATTGATAGTCCTCTAGTCATGCCCATCGGTGGGGTGCCTCATCATTGTATCTTTCTTACGCTTTTTGCCATGCCAGCGCAACAGCTTGGCTGACTTTGCACATGCAAACAGCTTATGCACCCAGGGAGCTATAGGGAAATAACAAACGATCTTTATGGGACCTTCTCTGATCTTGGTACCCTTATCTGACAGCCCTTCCTTGTACCGTGGAGCTTCACACTTGGGCACTTGTTCAAGTCTTTGTATTTTTCTCTACGGTACAATATGCAATCATTGGAACACGCATGGATTTTTTTAACCTCGAGGCCGATGGGGTAGATCATTTGCTTGGTCAAATATGTCTTTTCTGGCAACTCATTTTTTTCCGGGAGCATTTTCCTTATTATACCTAACAACTGATTGAAGCCTTTATTGCTCAATCCATTTATCGATTTGAACTCTAACAACATGATGTCGGCTTCCAGTTTGCTCATTGGACAATTCTTATACAATGGTGTTTTGCTATCTTGTCTTATTTTCTCTAGCTTTCTCAGCCATCTTCCACTAAGACATCTAGTCTCTATATTACGTAGCAGCTGAGAAATGTCATTGTTATCCTCGGTGTCGTCAGCTAGCGTGTTCCTAA